ACATTATAACGCCCCGTTCAGCCGTGGGGGCGTTATAATGTGACGGTCAATCCCACTATTTGTTGGTAAAAGAGTAGCCCAAGAGTTGGCGGTGGGTGGTGATGACTAGCTGCCTTCCCTCAAGTCTTACACTGATAAATTAGGGACGGCTAGCGCAGATAGCCCTCGTGTAGCTTTGCGCGAAATTCAAAAACAAACAATATTCAAACTAAATGTAGTTCTTTCATAAAAAATATATTTTAACAACACCTTCTCATTTTAGATACATTCCCGGCTGGCTTAGCGTTAAGGATCAGTTTTTAGATAAAGCAAGAATTTCGGGTTTGATTCCCGCGGAAAAACAGTGCAAGTAGACCATTGTGCAGCTTTGTGCTAAAATAGTCAAACTTTTAAAAGAATTACTAATATTTATTTGAAAAATAAAAATATTACACTCGTAGGCACTAGATTATAAAGAAAATAAGTTTCTTATTGATTTTTGTTAATAAATTGCGGGATAAGCGCTGTACGTTAACATTTAAAGCAGTTGATTATTCACCAAAAACATATTTCGAAGAAAAAAATTTTCAAATTTAGAGTCGAACTATTTGTATATAATAATTTTTTATAGTTAAATAAATGATTTATGTGTACTTTACCTTTTACTCACCGCGAGTATCACAACCCCATTTTTAGCGTTATAAGCCCACAGACTTACGGATATATAATGAGCTTTACTAATTAGTTATTTATTGTGAAGCTGCTGAGAGTCTATGATGTTTACGTTTATAACGGGATATATCGAGATTTAAGATTCAGTTGTTTTTTTTTAGTGATTCAAAAGTCTTGATATAGAAGTGTTTGGCATATATTGAGTTAGTTCTTGGGTGATGGGTTATCATAAAAATATTACTAGTTTTACCCCATTGGGTCTATAGAGAAGATAGAATGTACACGACTGAAGTGATCTAAAATGATGCATTTTACCAGAAAAATACTTCAAAATGTGCTAACAACGCGCAGCTAGAGGCTAGTTATTTAAATCAACCTACGATATAAAGTGATTTTTTTTCTCTCGACACCAATATCATGAATTTCGACGAGAAAGAAGCGCGAAGCCTAGTTTGTTATTCAATTCCAACTTGTTGCTGAGTGAGACTGGATTAGGAGAGCTATTCTCCTTCAATTGTGACCATTGACAGAGGCAACTCGAAATTTTTCAATTTTATAGTTAATACATTTCATTTGATACTTTTCGTACATAGACTAACAACAATATTAGGTTATACTTTTGCTGCTAAGCAACATGACATAAAAGTCTTGTTGGAGTGCATTGTTACTGGTTTTTCTATATATCAGAAGTCGTTATATAAGGAATCATTTATTTTCTGTATAGTTTTTCGCTATCTTGTCTCATTAAGAAGATGAGCAAGCGCATGCGCGCATGCACGTGGATAAGATAAGTAATAATATCTAGGTACACACCCTCAGGGTCCACTTAGTATGAGTGCAAAATTTTAGGTTTCTGGGTTCTTTCCTTTTGGAACTATGGTGGTCACACTTTTTTTTTATGTGGTTTTTTTCGTTAGCATGCTTCATAAAAAAGTCTGAATCTCTGGTAGTTGTGCTTTTTAAGTTATTTTTTTTTCCTCACCAATGTAAGCTTGTATTTATATAAATACTTGAAGATTATATAGTGGCTTGTGGGAGACAAAAAATACATCTCAAATGCTATTTTTACACTCCTCTCATTTTGAATCCGAAATGGACAAATTAAGAAGAATCTGGAAAAATAAATACCTGCAGTACGTGATATTTATCACAATTTTGGGGCCTATTTGTTTTTAATGTTTCATCAGCGTTTGGTGTTTAAACCGTGACTTTTAAAGCATAAATGCCACTTAATGATCTTTCTAGACAGGCTATTTAAAATAATATAATTTTGTTTTATTATCACCAAAACAACGAATTTTGGAGCGAAAAAGTGAAGCCAAGTGTATTATTCTATTCGTCACTTTCTGCCCCCCCCCCAGTGGACTTACAACACTAGAATCCGGGTTTCGATACCCGTGGTGGGCAGAGCACAGATAGCCCATTGTGTAGCTTTGCGCTTAATTACAAACAAACAAACAAACAATCGTCACTTTCTAAAAAAATGTTTAATCTTGATTATCACTGACAAAACATCAACAGCACTTTGTCATGATATAAAAGACTGTTTAGTTTAGATATAATTGATTAATTTATTTTCTGAGTGAATATTTTATTATTGTTTACTTTTTTGTTATAATAAGTGTTAAAAGCAGACGATTGTAGGAAGTTGTGTTTATAATTCATTGATGTTGAGACTATCGAACCTCGCGTACGTACAATACATTGACGTCGAGAATATAGAGATTTCTAGCATGCTGGCAGACGATTAAGTGATAAACATAAATAGTGTGAGACAAGCAGGAACAGCAGACAAACAATAGCAGAATAGAGTAAAGTTACAACAAGGAAAAGTTCGGCGTGAAGTTAACTACAGTAGAAGTGATAGGCCTAACGTTTAATATGTTAGAGTAAGACTAACAGTAGAAAAGGAGATGAGAAGAATAATTATTCCGTCAAAGCGTGGTTCTAAAGTAAATAAATTGACAAAAAGAACAGAGGATATTTTGAAGAAAGAAGACCAAACGATTACGGTAACTCGCGCCACAATTGTAAGTAAATCACACAGAGAATACTAGTGCGATAGTAATAGAGAATATAGTTCTGCACTCAGCCACCTTACAGCAGCAAGTAATTTTTTGAGCCTATCTCGACTATTTCTATCAAAAGAACTCGTGAAAATCATGGAGAAAACGGCCGTACAGAGCTGAGGTACGAGATCTTGTATTGCGCAACAAGCGCGGCCACTACTATGTTCTGTGTGGGAGTTCGGATGGGGGTATGGGTCTTACTCCCTTGTAATCTAGACAATAGTGTGAATTTGGTCGCTTTGTTGAACAATTCAGATTCCAGATATCGCAAGGAGTTCAAATCTCTATTCGTAATGTGTTTAAAAAACAGGGAGTTTCAAAAAGCTTTGTTTGGGAATCAACCCACCAGTCATGCCTCTCAGATTTGTTCTAAAACACATCTTTACAAGGTTTTCATTACTTAAGGCAACTGAAGAATATGTATACAGAGA